GGAGTCAGATGCCTTCACAATCTTAAGATTGTCAATACAGGAATTAGGATATACCCCACTCTACTCAATGGTTTAAAAAATAAAAGTAATTCTAAAGTTTTTTACCATTGTCTTCCTATCATACAGATGGACATATATAAATACATTGGGGCCAATTTAATCAATAAATTAGCTTGTTGATAAGACAACACTGCACTTCTCTAAAAAGCCCTAAAGAACATTTATACTTTTTAGATGAAGAATCAATCCTAAACAAAATATTTCTCACAACTCTGGTTAAGCTTTTCCATTCACATGACGTACATCACGTAAAACCAGCAGCTATAACAAGCGTTCTAATATCTCCGCTCTTGGACATTCTAGTTCAGACAATAACTATGAAACAAATGCAACTAGTGTTACCTAAATGAAAGTGATCTAGAAAATCCTGGATCTAGGCTTTTTTTTTTTTACCTTTCCTTTTCTTTTTAGGAGATCCCAAGGGTAAGTGTGGTTTGAAAAACAGTAATTGTAAACAAACTAGGGTTTTCATGTTACAAAATCTGTGTTGTTTTTTTTTTATGTAGCCTACCTCAAAACATAGAGATACGGATCTTAAATGAAAGAGGAAGACACATCTGTTACAGCTACAATAAGCAAATCCAAAATCTTTAAAGGTATCTTGGTCAGCTTTTAAAATCCATATTTTCATACTGGCTGTGAGGAGCTTGAAGCTTGCACATTACTCCAGCCACATTATATCTCAAAAGGACTTCATGTAAACTCACAGAAGATAGGACAACGTATCTGAAAAGAAATTTCATACTTTATTACTTCTATCTACTAAAAGAAAAAGAAATTCCGCTTGGTGATTTCTCAGGATCCACAGTACAAGGGCATGAAAAATTAGGCTCTTATTTTCTCCCTTTCCTTAATGGTCTAACTATTTAATCAAATACACTAATTCTAAACTGAAAAACCAAACAAACACTGAGCCATCCTGTATCCTGCCTTGTTAGAAATGAGCAACACAAAGGCAGCCGGAAACTTAGGGCTCTAGGTGAAAGGAAGCCTACAGTACAATTTGGAGAAAGAAATGTTTTTGTGAGGCCATCTGTATTCATCCATATCATTGCTCAAAGATAGTTGAATGACTCAGGGGTAGGAAAATAAAGAGTTTTGTGAAGCAAAGCAAGAATGGGTGGTAATTCTAATGAACTAGAACTGGTATAACAGTCTGAACACTTAATATATTCAGTTCATGCATTTATAAAGAAGTTTCCACAGAGAAAATGGAAAATTTTTTTATAGATTCAGAAAAACTGGGTTCCTAATTCAGACTACCCTATGTGACTTTTGTCATTATCATCTTTTCTGATTCTTACAAAGTAAACCTAATTAAGAACCTCCCTCATTAGTCTTCCAGAAAAATTAGCACAGCTTATGCTAATTACTCCTGCAAAATTTAATAAACTCGTTGAAATGGGAATAGTCTAATGAGGTTTTATTTATTGAACTAAGATAACTCCAAGGAAAAAGGTTAGGACACAAAGATATTCAGTGTGGTAATAAAACTACACTTTATTCAATTTCTAAACATGAATTTTATTGCAAACCTTTTAAATTCAAATATGAGTTACTCAGTGAATATGTTAAATCAATCTCCACCTTAATTCAATATCTGCAAGTCATTTTTTACTTTTTACTTTAACAATAATTACCACACATAGCCCTTTACCTCAACGATAATAAAATTTGCTGTTATTAATTCCTGGTCATCAGCTATTAAATGTAACACATTTGACTTTTCCCATGTCTACACAGCCCAAATATTTGGATCACTGGGCACAGCCTGGGTTTTATAATTCTTAATCAAGCCATTTGGCATCAGGCAGAATATAACCTGGCAGTCAACTCAAGATGCACACTTCCTACATTCATAGACATTTTCCTCTAAACTCTTTTGAAGTGACTTGACAAATTGTCACAAATGTAAAAAGAGTTTGGGTCATATTTTTCTTAGTTTGTTGCATGCTATTATTAAAAAAAGTAAAGTAGAAACCCATCTTCTAAACCACAGTAGGCAACTCCTGACTTTGTTAATTCCACTTATTTGATAGAATATGCCAAGCTGTTGTCCCCAAATCACTGGAAGCAAATAAAACAGCCAAATTTTAATACAGAAAGAGTTTACCCTGCACCATTGCTGTATGACCAGAAAGCCTCTTCTGTCTGTCCTATAAATAGTTTTCCTGAATAACCACTGCTAAAAGTCTTTTGGCTGATAAAAATAGCAGTGTTCTTCCAAAATCTGAAGGACAAGCAAAGGGAGCTAAAAATTATTGGAGCCCAAAAGGTGACTGTGTGTTAAAGCTATGCTAAATCCTAACACAATGGTTGCCTGTACCCTAGCTCCATAATTCCATATTGCATGCATCTTATAAAAACAGTTACTATTGCTACTGAGTGCAGGCCCCATAACCTATTTTTACAAAATATGCAGCGATTCACATCCATAAATCTGAAAGCAAATCAAACCCTAAGCACGTAACGCAGATATTATACAATCAGTAGTATGGAATCAAATTGGAAACTGTGAAATTCAAGCACAGTTGCCATCATTTTGTTTTCTTTGCAGTAATTTTATGGAATTGAAAAATCTTTTCTATTTTGCTCTTCCTTGTGTAAGTTTTTTTCTTGTTGTTACTCTCTTTTCTCATTGTTAAAAATGAAAGTTTCACATATCAGCATAGACGGGACTGGAGCTTTTTAAACCTTTGGCAGACTGAAGGACAAATAAATTCCAAAAAGTCAGATGCAAATAAAAATAGCTAAATGGGGTTTTGCATATCAGCTGGCTGCACTGCTTGAAAAGGCAGTTCATGGGAGACAGTGGTAACAGCCAGCAAATAAACATATGTTGGGACTTCTGGAGATTCTCTGAGTTTCAGCCATTTTTTAAATACTCCTCTCTTAAGAGACCAGCACAGGCTGCACACTGTTTTCTACTTTGTCAAACCAAAAAGGAAAAAAAATGAAAAGGATAAATGTCACGAGTAATATCTCTAAAGACACCAACAGTATAAAGTGCATACTTATTTTGCCTAAATTGTTTGAACTACCCCAGCCAAGAAAAGGTTTTAAGTACCCTACCGGGACAGATGCAAGGCGGCACCAAGAGAAGCCACACTAATGCAGTCCAGGTAACACAATCCTGTTTCAAAAACACGGGCCGAGCTAATTACAGAGCTGCTGAGTCAAGTTTCTTAGGCCATCGCAACCCACAGGAACAGGTCAAAATCAAATGTTATTCAAACCACAGTCGTATCAACCTTCTATATCAGAGTCACGGCTTAAAAACCAAACGAAGAACTTAAAAGCTTAACCCATTCACAAGCAAAAAAAGTGTTTTCTTTGCGGGTGGCAAGGTAGGGTTCTTGTCATCATCTAAACCGAAAAGAACCATGTGGGAGAACAAAATGCTTATAGTTTCAAAGTTTGAGGGAATATTTGGGCTGGTCCTTTGATCAGAATACTTGATTTTTAATACAAGAGTAAGAGAAACTTTCTTAAAATAGCAAATAGTATTTTGAAGAGAAGAATTTCAATGAAAGAAACAGCAAAAAGGTTACATTTGTTTTTGACCTTATTCATTTGAAGATTTTCTCCCATTGCAGAAAAAGAAATGGCGTAGATGGCAAGTCTGTTCTCACAGATTCACAAGCTATTCTAATTCCACAGGGAGCATACAACCTCACTGGACATGAAAGGTGCACATGTATAATTCTGAATCAAATATATTAGTACTCACTGATCAGGCAAAGATATATGGTCTTGGTGAACATTAGCGAGCATATTTACTTTAAATACCTACTGAAATGTAAACTTTATAAAGCTATTTGACAATCAAAATTGGTTTAAGCCTGAAGAATCACATAAGTCAAAATCGACAGTCAAGAGTTTGACATAAATGACGCTGAAACAAAGACTTTTTCAGTTACTGGAAAATGGTAACGCAAGCCCCAGAAAGGTTAAGACCTGGAAGTATAGATTAGTAGGGGTTTCTTTTGTCAAAAATTAGCATTACCAAACATTAAAAGGGACTTTTGTTTAGCTGTTGATGTCCTCAATGAGGGACCAGTCAGTCTTATTTGCAAGATGCTTTTCCAGCTAGTGGAGGGTGCTAGCTCTTTTCCTAGCTGACAACAGTATCTATAAACCTTCCAGGCCATTTAACTCTCCATGAGTAATGCTATGTAACAAATTGGTTTATCATACATGCTTTCATACAATGAATTTCTATAATTAAAATGTAAAATGAATATTTGGAATGCAACTTTGCATAACACGTGCACACACTGACTCAAAATTGCACCAAACAACTAAAACAGATTTATTGTTCTACAGTGATTTACTTGGTCATGTCAGATTAGTAATATGGATCTGTTTAAAAACACAATAATTAAGACAAGCAGGATAAATTAATCAGCTTACAATACAGTATGAGCTACTAGCAAACCTGGGAAATAACAGTAGAAAATCTTGGTTCACAGATCTCTTTAAAACTGCTTTTATGCATAAATAAAACCTTAAAATGTAGATGGATTACGTCCAACAGACTACTGTAGCTAAAAGTGATAATGATTCAAACATTTTTCAAATAAAAGTTAAATATTTATAAGCACCCAACCACATTTCATAAATCACAAACTATTATTATTTTATTTCTGAAGCTTCCTGGCACAGCATGAGGATTGAGCCACAGAAAGTCAGGAAACAAAAAAATATTCCTTTAAGAGTATGAATCAGACACAAAACCAAAGTAATCCAAGAAAACAGGCCTCCAAAAAACATTCCATATGGCTTTCCCAGGAATCGCAATAGCTCAGCACAGCTTAGTCATGACCAACAGGCAAAGTTCGGCCACAGGCATTCCTAACCCTCACCCATAAGTGACACAAGGCAGGTGTTTCATTGTAATGAGGAATAAGAAAATCCAGTGAAAGTAGAGTGGTCCCTACCTGTCAATTATCACTGGATCTGAGGGAGTCTCATTTCGGTTGCCACAGCTTTTCTTGTCACAACAGCGGCTATGGAGCAAAAGCGAAAGGATTTAGTACAACCATTACAATATAAAATCATCATTTAGGCACACAGAAGGTTCAAATTGCTGGGTTGCAAATGCTAGAATTACCACAGAGCCATACCTGGCAATCAACGGATCCCTGGGACAGAAAATTCAATGTGGGTCACCTATGGGTTAATGGCCAGGCTTAACCTCTCCCTAAACAAAAGAGGGTGGAAGAGGGACTCTCCCAGTGCCACGACTGACAGCCTAAGATGGGGTCTCCCCATCACTGCCTGTGGTATTGGAGGAGTTCACTGTGAAATGCATTATTATTACATCTACCCAATGAGAATATTCAGAGTTGTGGGTGGCTCAAACGTTCTTCCCTCAAGATCACACTAATTGTGTGGGATGTGACAATAATGAGGTATGAGTGATTTCTCCCCCTCCAGTCATTTTGTACTAAATAGATTCCTTTTTCTTCTCCTTTTCTCTTTCAGCAGGATGTTTTCTTCAACCCCAGCCTTGCCAAAACCTTAAAGCTCTGTTTGCTTTTGAGCCATCTTCATGAGAATAAAAGTACAACACAAAATTAAGACAAAGAAGAGGCAAGATATAAGAAAGTGGAGATACACATGTCCTCTGGCTTTTGTGCCCTGTGTCGGCCACTGTTTCAGTTTTCTGGAAGCACTATGGCCAGTTGATTCAAAGATTAGCACAACCCTGACTGGAAGTTCTTTATTAGGTAAGAGAAAAGGCAGCCATAGGCAAGAAAAACACCCACTATCAAAATCCCACCCCAGTTGTGACCTTAAGGCTATCTGTATTTTTTAAACCAAGATGCTTCTAAAGGGTGAAAAATTAAGGTTTTCAAAAATTACCCATGGTCAATGGAAAACTATCCATCTGAGACTTCTTTGCAAATAAAAATTTTGTCCACTGGCCAGTCTAAACCCAGAGGCACGCTACAGAAGCACATATTTGACCAGTCAAGGAGGTGAGGAAGTTATCCAAGAGTTATATATGACCATGCACCACAAATAAAACACGACTTTGGACACATGGACGCACACACACGCATTCAACTTAGTGAATCATAGAGCCTAAATTTAGAGAGCTAGGGAGAGCCAAACATTGAACTTCATTTTCAAGACCCAGAAATATACTCCTGCATAAGGAGTCTTTCGCCAAAGTTGGGAAGTTTCCTTCCTGGCTGTAACTATATATCTGAGAAGAGAATCAGCTCCAAATTTGGTGCTAATTCTGTTTGTCTCTCATATCTTCACAAAGCAATAGTAAGTGCCTCCTTTGTCAAAGCTCCAGCTAAAAACCAGTCCATCCATCTTAAAACCTTTCCGTGATTCAGAGGAAACTATTTCCTCCAGGCCTGAGCTCTGCTCTACCAGTACTTTGAGGATAAAAATCCCAAATTATCCCAATACCTACAAGGCAGATGAGGAAACAGGGAATGAGAAGTACAGTAGGTGGGATGCATGCAAAAAATAATTTAAAAGCTGACTTCCATCATCCCGGAACCCTGGTCCCCTATACCTGTGTTTCAATGCCTTACCAGAAGAGCACAATGGTTAAGAACACTGGCTCCGGGATCAGCAGGGCAACCTGTGTCACCTTGAGCAAGGCATTCCACCTCATAGTCTTAGTTTCCTCATTTGTGAAATGGAGTGACTGTGGCACCCACCTCTCCATGTGTAGGGGCACAGCTTCAAGGCAATAAGGGTATAAAGCCAGACTCTGTGACTGGCCCTACTAAGTGCTCGGCCAGCATCATTATCATTCCCTGCTCCTTCCCCCTCCAGCCTCCTCCTCCTTTAAGTCTCAGCAAACTTTCCCTGTGCTCTGCAGAGGCAGTCGGTCTCCAAAAGCAGCCTTTAAACAGAGCCCAAGTCCCCTTCACCAGGGGATAATACCAATGGATGGGAAGGCCTGTTTCTCCTTTCTATTTTCCATTGTGTCTTTTTCAAAATAAGCAGGCGGTACAAGTCCCTGGTGGTCAAACTCTGCCCGTGGTCCTGCTCAGACTATATGCCCTGCAGGGACTCTTCCAACTTGCATGATGATTATTTGAGGCTAGAGTCTGTATCTCAAGCCTATTTGTTCTCTCCTTCCCCTACCACCACCCTCATCCAGGTCAATTTCATTGCTCGCTTGGACTCCTACAGTGGCCTCCCTCTGGTCTCCTGCCTCCACTCTTCACTCCCTGCAGCAGCCAGAGTGATCTTTTCAACATGTCAATGGGACTATGTGCCTTCACTGCCCAAGACCTTGTCATGGCCTCCCACAGCACTTAGGATAAATCTATGGCATGACATGACGCCCGACCACCTCCCAACCTCTTGTCACTCTCCTCCAACTTGCTAAGCTCCAGCCTCACTGGCCAATTTCGACGGGTTTGACCTCCCACCTGGACTGCTCCTCCTCCAACTCCTCCTAAGCTAGCCAGCCTCTCCTCCCTCTCTAGGCCTCAGCCTTGCGTGTCCTCCTCAGAGAGGCTAGCCCTGACATCCATTAGGTTCCTCCTGATTTTTCCATTCAGGGCACTTAACACAATACACATTATATTCTTACATATATATTTGTGTATTTTTTGTAACTATCTTTCTTTTCCCACTTCCCCACCACTATCTCTTATGCTTCATAAAAGAAGAAACTGTCAATTTTATTTATCTAGTGAGTAGCATCAGTCCTGGAATAGAATAGAGAAGCTCAAATATTGACTGATTGATTGATTGACTGAATGAGTTCATGACTTGTGAATGAACATAATGTACGGGGCAAATACAGTCCAAGAAAATAGGGATGTGACAGATGAAGGAAGCCATTCTGACCCTCTGAGCAGGCACTACTGATGGAAGGTTCACTCCGGCTCCACCCCACACACCAAACTACCCCTCCCAAGCATGGGTCACACTAAGCCTGAGGTTTGTCCTTTGGATTAAGCACTGTCTTCATCTCCTTAAAATAAAAACACCCTTGAGCACAGCCAGATGAACCGAAGCACAGCATAAATGAGAGCCTCCCCTCTCTGCAGTGCCCCAAGGGACCCAGAAAGAAGGCAAATGCAAACCACAGAAGTGTAGAAGGAAGAACAGGAGAGGAATAAAGTGGGGGTAATAAAGGAAAGAAGAGAAAATGGAATGAAGGGGCTGGAGGCCACTTAATTAACACTTATAAAGAAAATGTATACAAAGCATGAAAAATAACCTAACAGGTTTCCTGTCCCAGGTCATGTCACAGCACCACACAGCCATCGTTCGTAAAGCGGGATTCCTGGGCTCTGCTCTGCAGCTGTGGTGGTGACAAAAGAGTGCCTACAGTACAGGCCCACTTAAAAAATGTATACATATATGCATATATGTGTGTAGGTGAATGGGTGCATGTATATATGTGTACCTATGGAATTATGTGCCACATTAAAAAGAATGAAGGTGGGTTTGTCCATGCTACCATGTAAAGAAGTCTACATCACATTGTGAATTGAGAAAGCCAAGTTGCAGAATAGTACATATGGTATGATCCTTTACCAGGTGAACAAAATGAGACAAGGAAAGAGAGGGAGGGAGTTACTGCCTCAGAAATCCCTTCCTTGACTAGCCCCATGCTCTCTAGCCCCTTACCCTGCCTCCTTTTCATTCTAGCTCTCACTGCATTCTATTTTATATTTATTTGTCTTCTCTATTGTCTGTCACTCCATGAGGACAGAGCCTTAGACTATTTTGTTTACCCCTATATCTCAGCAACCGGAGCAGAGTCCCATGTACAGCAGACGACCCTCAGGAAATATTTTCTGAATGAATGAATGAATGAATAGAAACTTAAGAAGTAACCTATAGGGAGTGGAATAAGAAGTGGGGAGAATGGAGAGTATATATTTTATTCCCATACTTCTGGAGTCTTCTGCTTTGGTATTGCAATACTGTTTTCCTATTGAAAAACTAAAAACCAATCCCAGTTGGGGTAAGAAGGTCTTCTTTCCACCTAACTGAAATCTCCCTCCCTGTAGTTTCCTAGTTCTAACCCCAGAGCCAAGCAGAACAGCAGTCTGTCCTTCCTCCCCATGACTGTCTTTCTTAGCCTCTTTCCTCCCCTAAGCTGAACAGCCCCTCAGTTCCTTTTACTGAACTCAAAGGAACCAAGAAAGGTGGGCCCCAACCTCCACCATATACAAGAAAGGCATGAACCAAGAAAGACAGGATGAAGGGGGAACAGATTCACTTAAGCTTACGGCCGAAGAGGGCTCAAGCTAACACAACACAGTATATGGGATAACTGATGCACAAGCACTTCAAGGGAAAAGTTACCATGTTAACGAAAAAAATCGTAGAGCCAAGTATGTCCTCCTTGCTGTATGACTGATGGATCTTCATCCATTCAAAGCAGTGTGTTTTAGGGTATACTATGTGTGGAAGGCACTGTACCAGGCACACACCTGACATCTGCTCCCTAAAGCAGGCATCTATTGGGGGACTGGAAGTTTCTTAATTTGCTTTATCACACAGCAAGATTCCCACTATGTCACCTCCCTTCTCAACCTCAACTCAAGTGGCAGGAGTAATATGGCCCGTCACAGGAGTGGGTACCCAGCACCTGGTGTCCTACGTACACTGTGGACTCTAAACAGCAGCCCTTCCTCTGGCGGGATCATGCATCTCCTGAATAATTTGCATAACCAGGGAAAACTTGGGGGTCTCTTCCTTAGCAGCCTATACAAGCAGCATATCTCTCATGAGCTGACGTGAAGCTTCATAAATGAGAGCAAGAAACATTCACATGTTACCTAGTCATGGGACCTGCAAATACACATTTCAGTGACACAGAACTTCTTCCTAGAAGTAAATCTCTTGCAACTGGAGAAAAGCATCATCTCCATCCCCAAGCTTTACAACAAAACACAGAATTGTCTTACCTATGTAGCCAAGGTGGCTAGAGAATGAGCAATAGGAATTATCTGGACAGTTGGATTAATAATGGTAAATTCATTCTTTCTCTCAGCTTACAAATATTTTCAAGTTTTCCCATTCTCTTTTTAAAAACTGCTCCTTCTTTTCTCTTGAGTTAGTTTCTTCACTGCCTAACTTTTTCCTTGCCAGAGTTGCCATTGCTTGTTGTCACTGTAATCCCATAAAATCCGGCTCCCAGGCCTCGGTGCCTCCTTGAATGCCCTCTCTCAAAGTTCACCAGCGGCTCTCCAGTGTTCTCAGGCTCCCCGTGCATCCGGATCACCCTAGCACTTAAGATGACATGGATGGCTTCCCCTCTTTGAAACACACTCTTTTTACCTCTATGCCCAGTATGCTCAGCGTTCTTTTTCCTAATTCTGAGACACATCCCCCTCCTTGCTAGAGGTGATGGTTCCACAAGAGTGTATCCATGGCTTCTTCTCCTTCTATTTCCTAATCCTTGTCAATCCCATGGAAGCCCACAGCTCCAACTCTCACCTTTGGGGAAGGACCTGTGCAGTCAGTTATCTTTCACTCTCACTCTCTTTCCAGTTCCAAGCCACAGGCTCACCCGCCTGCAGACCTCTCCCCAGAGGAATCCTGCCTGGACCACGAAGAAGTGGGCACAAACACCTCTTCATACACCCTCTAAATTCCCTGTCCTAGCTCACCCTCCTCCCCATCTCTGGGGCTCCCACCCACCTGCAAGTACGTCCTCCCTTCTCTGGAAAACCACCTTCCTTTACCTCCCCCTCTCCAGCCGGCCCTTTCTACAGTGGGTCTAGCTCCCTGCATACAGGTCTCACCTCCCAGGCTAAGCTGTTAGCTCTCCCACACAGTTCCTTTTGGCTCTGCATCCCACAGTGCTTTGGACATGGGTGGTAAAAGGATAAATGAAAATATCCTTAACCACCACAGCAAGAATGGACAAAGTACATTTATGTGTAATAAACACTGCTTCCTTTCAGTGTTCACTTTGTTATCGTTCACTCTGAGCAGCTACATGCCAGGTGCTTAACTAGACACTGCATATACTGCTACTATTACTACTACTTCTACCACTTCTAGTAATATTAATACTAATACTACTGCTATTAATAATAACAATAGGCGTTTGGTACTTACTATGTATCAGGCACCATGATAAACACTTACAGTGATTATTTATTCTTAATCAGCCTATGAGAGAGGCAATATTTTTCCCCCCTTCACACACAGGACAACTAAAATAGAGAAGAAAACTGATTTCTCTGCCTTCAAGGAGCAATTAGTCCAGCAAAGGAAGACAGGCCCTGGACACACAGTTACAATGTGCTGAGTGCTGTGAGGGAAAAGCACAGGATATGATAGGAATGCATATAACAAGGGGACGTAAGTTCAGACCAAGAGCCATGGATGCTTTCTTGAAGAAACCGTGCTTAACTGAGAATCTGAAAAAGAAAATCAGAATAAGCTGACAAAAGAAGAAGGAAGAACAGGTCATCTTAGGAACCAGGCCAAACTCAGGTCCCACAAGAAACTAGGCATTGATTGATAATGGAAAAAGAATACTTTCCTAAACAGCACACCCATCCCCTGCAATTGTCCTCTACACTAGAAAGGGAGAAAATCTGCTCCAGCCTGACTGGGGGAGCTGGGAACTGGGATCACCTATGAAACATAGTGTCTATTTTCCATTCACATTTAAGCACAGGATGTCAAATGCACTTACAATCAAATCCCTTATGGAATCCTGCTTTAAAAAAAAATCCTTCATGGGGCCATAATTTTTTAAGGACTTAACCACCAGCTATTAGCAAAATGTAATGATGATTGGTATGATGGGTTCCAATTTACCAAAAATGCAGAAATGCTCCCAGAATTCCATGGAAAAAGTTCCAAGCCACCAAAGTCAAAGAGGTTTTGTCTCAAAGAGGCAATGATTATAATGCAATGGCAGCAAGTCCTTCAGCCAGCTCATGTAAGGGGGTTACCCTCTCAACACAACAAAATGGATTTTCTAAATTTGCAACCACCTGAGACACAACTCCCTAGTGTTTTCCTCAATCTTTTTTTTTCTTTGCCTTGCAACAAAACAGAATCATCCCCAGCCCCTTCCTGTCGATCTAAATTCTCTGTGTCTCCTTTACTGAAGCTCCACTGTACTATAAATATACAGCTTTTGTAACATAAATGCAAAGTTTTATTGTGCCGTTAGCCTTGATAAAAAGCACTGCAGAAAGTTGTTTAGAAATTAAATATCTAAAACAAGCTATTTTAAAATCCAGGGCCCTCACTATTTCATGTCTGCAATGAAGAAATTTCATCTTGGGGAGAGCAAGCTGTCTTTCACACCATATGGCTAATGGTGGTGCATAGCAATTAGCCAAGCTGATTAATGGTGAACAGACTCTAATTTTATGCTTATAATTGAGCCTGCATTTGCACCCCTGGTGCAAATTCAGCACATCCCAACTTCCACTTACAACAGGCAAGAAATCAAGAGAAATAGGATGGTGTGGAAAGTGAGAATTTTTTTCCTAAAGCCCCCTAAAGAGCATCAGATTTGCAATTTAAAAGACTGTTAGCCACACAATAGATGACAGGTTTGTGTAATAGGGTCATGGCGGCCTAGTAAACAAACAGTACCCCTTATATGTCTATAGGCAGCCAACATGGTAATCTGTAACACTAGCAGGATGACATTTTGAATATGGCTTTTTCTCTCTTAGCCACGCTGTACAAACATCATCATTTGCCTTCAACAGCTTGAGATTTTTATTTTTGCTATTTTTATGTTTCTGAAAAATAGAAAGAACATTAGCAGTAAAGCATACCAACCAGCATAATAAAGTATATTGGACCAATGAATTTAAAGAACAAGAAAAATATAAACTACATTAATAGAGGGAAGGCTTGTGCATGAAAGGCATAATATATCTTTAAATATTTCAAGAACAGAATTATTTCTAGCATAGTCCAAACATGTACAGATAGGAGATGCAAATCTATCATATATAGATATTAGTTGGCCATTTGATCGAGATCCATCTCCTTGTTTGTCTCCTATTTGCTAAAACTACATGTAACAAAACATGGATAATTCATTCTAATGACATGGTAATGGTGGGAAGCTAAAATAGAGATACGGTCAGAAAAGTAGTGATTTGAAGGAGGTGATTTTTTAATGCTTTTCAAAATGATTTTACTCATTTAATTATGAAAAGCACAACTCAGCTTTAAATGTACAATTGTTGTATACAGTATAACTCTAGTTTTTGCCTAATAATATCTGCTAAGAAACCCATTATCATATTTTTGGGTTTTGTTACTGCTTCAGAGTTAGAGAAAAGCAACCTGTTTGGGGAATAATTAACAAGTTTTCCAAAAATCACTGAAGTGAAAACTTGTGAAAAGTCCTGTATATTTTAGAATAATATACTAGAAGCACATTTTTTAAAAAGAAAATTAGGAAAATTTTATATACATACATAATTACATAGAAGTTAATATTTGGGATCTCAGTAAGGAAACACATTAAGCCCTTTCTATTTTATTTCCACCTGTAGAGTTTTAAGACCACTTTCCCTACACGTCCATGTGTAGCAAATAAAGCGCCCCCCATGCTGAAGTAGCAGCTGAAGCCCTAAGTGGACTGGTCAGTAATAGTCAAGAGCCAACCATGCTTTGAGCCAGCCAGAGCCTGCATGGATAACAAAGCAATTAGTAGCCTTTCTCTGATGCATAGTGGCATCTTCATACTTTATCCAATTACTCAGAATATATCAGGCATTATTTTTGAAAAGGAAGAATCATAAGCTGCAAGTTAAAATATTCTCTGGTCTGCCCTCTCTCACGTGTGGAGGACCAGCTGAGGCCATGGAAGTGAATTTGGTCTGCTTGCCTGTTTTCAAATGTAGCTTCAGTCTGATTACAGACAAAAATAAAGACACGCGTTTGTGGGTGACAGGAATTTTTATACCTTTCCGGGACTCATCTTTGCCAACCAGAGAAATATTAGCTACAGTGTCACAGTTATTATATACAAGGGAACTGAGATTAAGAGATCAGGTGCAAGGAGGGAAATAAAAACCCACACTCAATTTAAGGAGGAATGTTGCCTATGTAAGGACAGTCATATAAGTGGGAGAATTAAAAAGGGGAACTATAACTTTCAAATCTTACCCAAACAGAGGCTTCTGCTGACATGAACAGAATTCTTACTCATTTTACTAGTAATGTAGTTGCGTGTATATATTAACACTAAAAGTGTTATATTCTATTTTATTTGATTGAAAGAAGGGGAGGGTACTGTTTTGTGTCTCATTAACAAAATGATATCAAAATGGAAATATATGTCTTTCAGGATGAAATCTAATAAATAATTGAGAACCACTGTGATGACTGACACTTCACTACCAAATATTCACACCTAACAGCCCTTTTTAGATTGTCTAATAGAAGCAAGATAAATGTATACTCAAAAATAGACCTGAGTTCACCTACATTTGAGATAGAAATTCATCTTCTCTACTAATTAAAGGAAGGGAACAAGGTATTTCTTACCTGCACATGATTTCGTGTGTGAGCAATACTCGGCACATTTCTGGGTTCTTATCTTGGCCTTCATACACTATGGCCTGTAAACAAAGGCATGATTGAGCTAAGAATGGAACCAAGTAGCAGAGAGCAAACTTTCACAATTAAATTCTTAACTACTTCACCACTGCTGAGGGCCAGTTAGCTTTCAGAGCTGAGGGCCTCTCTGAGCCAGTTGTTTCAAGATACGTGTTAAGGATCAACCCAAATGGAGTGGAAAAGGATATGTTCCTCTCTGTCCTGTCAGCCACCTTATTATGATGCACATCTTTGGATCAGTGCATGAGATGGGCTTCTGTCATTAAGACAATCCAGAATAAAAATAAATCTAATCAATGGCAAAGCAAACCCCAGAAGTTTTAGTAGCTTGAGATCCTAATGATGTATAAAATAGAAAAGCACATGGATTTGATTTTTAAATGATATGTATTTGTCACTTCATTTTACTACTTCCAGCCCCAACATTGAGTGTTCCAGAGGGAAGGAGAAGAGAACAAGTGGGGGTATGGTTTTAATGAGTCCATTCACTAACTGTGTCTTCTTTGAGATGATTCATCAATCAGCGAACACCCTTCTTCCCACCTGCCGGCTGAAAACATGTGCTCCAGAGAGCACACCCACCCCACCCAAACAGTAATCCTCGCCTGCACATGCTGCATGTGTGGGTCTATGCCATGGAGTTATCTCCCTTAACTAAGAAGAATCACATCTAACTCTCAAAATCTGGAGTCCCAAGCCACCTCTCCAGCCAAGATGTTTTTGTCTGTTTTTAGTAATGTCCACGCAAACTTTTTGCTTAAGATCACCAGGAAATTTTCCTGAGATCTCTGCTTCCTGGAAGATCTGCATGTTAATACCTGGGCCAAATTAAAACTCACAGCTATGGGTAGAAGAGTGCTCTGCATTGGGTTACATTTAACTGACTTAACACTGTATCACTGCATAATACTGATATAACACAGCTTCAAATTGTTAATAAAATTACTTTCACACATTCAGATAACTCTCAATGTCTTGGTGACAAAACTACTTAAATTAACCAGAAACTATTCTTATTGAGAACATAAAGATGCTGCAGCAACTAACTTGTAGTTGGCTCTAGTGTGCTTTGTTTACGAACCTGGCACATACAGAACCTATAAAGGATGGGGACGGCTTAAGACACAGTGTGTGCAGACCCCTGGACCAGGTTCTGGTTAAGCTATCTAACTCTATTACAAAAAAAATTACAGCAAATTTTTTAAAAATGACAAAAAGTATCTGCATAAGGAGAAAACATTTCTCTACCATTGACCCATCAAAACCATTTTTTATGATTAGCCTATCACAATCCTGTATTTTTTTAATGCTTCATTTTGACATAAGTTCAGACTTACAGGAAAGTTACAAAAATATATAATTACAAGATAGTTTTTACCCAGATTCCTCAAATGCTTGTATTTTACTAACTTTGCCTTATCCTTTTCTAGTTTTTTCCTAAATCATTTATTAGTAAATTGCAGGCCTGCCCTAAATACTTCAGCATGTATTTCCCTAAAACAAGGAATTCTCTTACATAACCACAGCACAATTACCCAAGTCATTAGCATTTAAACAATGCAATCATCTAATCTTCAGACTTAACTGAGATTCACCAATTACCCAATAATGTCCATGATAGCAAAAAGAAAAAATAAAATCCAACACCAATCATTGCATTCAGTGTTGTATCTCCTTTAATGTGGAACTTTCCTGAGTCTTTGTATTTCATGACATTGGCATTGTTGAAGAATACAGGCCAGTTCTTTTGTAGAACATCCTCAGACTTAAGACTAAAAATTACACAGTTTAGGATCAGAACACCACAAATGTGATGCTGAGTTCTTCTCAGTGTATCAAATCACACTGTCCACTACTTCCACCACGTGTGGTAAAGGCTGACCTTTCAGTGAAGGTGGTGCCTGCCATCCACCAGAGACAATCAGCTTGATTTCCCCACCGCAGGGCTACTGCTTCACCTTCCATAGCTCATAACTATCATCTGGGGAGACAGTCTAGATTATGTTACTATCATACCATGTCCCAAATTTTCAGCCACTAGTTTTAGCCTGTATTGACGATGTTTCCTATGTTCTTTATAGACCTTTTCAAATACCAAAGTTGCTTTTTCTCAAGAAAATGCATCAGGTAAATCGAAAACATTATGAAAGCCAAAAATTATATCCACCTGATCATATTTACTGCCATCACTGCTGCAAAAACAAAATTAAACAAAAAACACTGTAAATAATTGATCAGATCACACACAGTGCTAAAAAAATCTGATCACATTTTTGTGAAATCCTATTACCACTTCACATTTGGGATGTTCTCTGAGTATCCCTGATAACCTCTATTTCAACTTCAGTTTTTTGTCATGCTAAACTAACACAAATAACTTGGTAGATTCACAGATATTGGGAGGGTTTTTCCTGCAAAAAAAAAGTTTGTCTTTTTCTGGAAGGAAGTTACATCAGACCTTCTTCATCTTGATTCTTTCTAGATGATACAATATCATACTGAGACCACTGGTCCCACTGAAGTCAGCACACCACGACGACATTCAATTACACATATACTGCAGCACAAATATGCTCACGACCCCCCCAGACAGGAGCTGATCCATGGACTCCCAGGAATCCCATGTTTTTGTCTTTAGTGACTGAACATCATTTGTTAAAGTCCCAGGGCCTCTCAATACATCTCTCTACCAAACGCCAAACTGCTACTTTGCTTCTGGCAGCAGAATCAAAACGGAGAAACTTTCTTTAAATCAAGCACAGAAAAAATGAAAGCATGGATTTGGATTTGCTCAGAAATAGGAATTCTGGGGAGAGATGGAAGCATAAAGTGTCTGCTGTCCCTCTCCTTGGGGCCTCAACAGAACAATGCTTTTCAGCACAAAAATACAGAGGAAGGAGTGCTGTTTCTGTGACTTCTGAAATAAAAGCATGTGAAACAGGGAGTCTTTTCTCTCTGCTATGGAGTAGAACTAAAATCCTGTAAACAAGGTAAACGAGAACCTCAGTGTAAACAGGGTGAACTAGAGTGGAATTCTATCAAAGGCAAATCTACCTCTGACCTCACCTAAGAAGTTTTTGTTACTGAAAAGGCTTGTTAACACACAAACACACACACACACACACACACACACACACACACACACACACTCTATATCATAAAGGGTGTGGGCCAAGAAATCAACATTCTGATGAGATCCAAAATAGGAAAATATGATCAATTTATTTTGCTTAATGTCTCTGATGCACATCAACAATAAGACAGACTGTTTAAAAGTGCCGCCAAATTCTCCCTCCAGCTTACATGCACAACTGCCAGCCACACATCAACTCTCTACCATCTGCATTAGTCCACACATCAAGACTGGCTCACAGTTCAGCAAACCCAGACTTGAAGCCTAAAAAGAAAGAACTCCTCTAACACCAACTTAGGGAGAAGTTTCTGCTTTTCTTACTCATTTAAATATGTGTCTCTGTGGGGTGTGAATAAAGCTCATTGAGGCTGGATCAGCTGGGAGATCACAGAAGCATATAAGCAGCATTGACTATTTTAAGTGAAACCATTTTAATAGACAGCTGGTTTAGGGCCCAGACAATGGAACACCAAGAAGAAGGCTTATTTTCATCCTTCATAGTAAATCATGTGTCTGTTCCCTGTGAGGAAGGTAGTCTGCTGTGGGAACAACAAAGACAAGAGTGGTTTAAATAAATCAATCTGTTTATCAGGAGTAAGGATGGGAGGCCTGTTACAGAGATGGGCAGGAGAGGGAGAGAAAGCATATATATTATTAAATAAATGAATTGATAGTGAAGCAAGTTGGGTTTTTTAACCTAAGAAACAAAAAATACAGTACCAAGTAGAAAATGATGTTTACTTTAATTCTGCCAATGCAAATAAATCCCTTAAGGTGGCAGGAGTGCTTGTACAGGAAGAAAAGTAAAAGAATAAACAGCACTAACTTCATCTCAACTTTAAAAACCTGGTGAAACTGATAAATAAGTTGCCAAAACTTGATATATTTGCAGCAGACTTCTTTTTCTGATATACTAGCCTCCCTTTTCTTAATGTCCACCTTTAATAGGCAGAAAGAAAATATTACAATTAATTTGAATACTCTTTTAACTTCCGGTTGAGGAATTTTTCCAGAAATGATTTTTTATAATTAACAAAAAAGAAGAAAAATAGGAATCATTAAATTTTCACATCCTTATGCAACAGTAGTGCTAGGTTTACTGTGAGAGGATAAGATGCCATCAGTGTTAAAAGCCCACTTATAAATTCACCTAAGCCATCTTTGAAAAGAAATCAATCAAGAGAGAAATCTTACTGATGTGCCCCTGTTTTAGAAAGCATCTTGTAAGAATGTTCATCCCTGCTGTTCTAAAATATCACTGGTTCTTAAAAGTTCATTGAAACTTACTATGGTTAAAGACTATACAGGAAAACGAAAATATACAGTGGACACCAGGATCACACTTCAATAGGATACCAAACGAAATACAGAAAATTGAGCTGGGCTTTTCTTTGTTTACTTTTCTAGTAGTTTTAACTCTTTGTATTCCATACCAAAATAAAGAGAGCGAGGAGAATACTTTTGATTTTGGTTCATCAAAATCTGAAAGGGTTTTAGGAACAAATTTTTTCATTAGGAGTCCTTCCTGGCTGACAACGAAAAACTAGGACACTTGCATTCATTATGCAATGAAAGAAAGAAAGAGAGGAAGGAACGAAGAAAAGGACAAAGGAAAGAAAAAAAAAAAAAAAAGAAAAAGAGAAAGGAAAGAAAGGCATCTTATCAATAATTTTTTAAAACTTCTAATTTTCCATTTAAATCAAAACAGTGATCTTGAAAATGTTACCTCTTTCTCTATACACAAAATAAAAGGCCAAACCTAACCTGTCACTTTAAAGAATAAGCTCATGAATGTACAGAGTACCTCCTTCAACCAGAAGTGTCCTCTAAATAAAGACTGTCAAAAAGGTTTTGGTAGCAAATTACCAA